CCACTTTCTGTAGCATGGAGGATGCAGCAATGAGAGGACAGTGCTGGGATATGGTGATCTCTGTTTACAGCCTGAATTTTGAGGTGTATGTATGGTGGCTTATGGAGGGAGCAAGCAAGCCCAGCCCAGCTACAGTCTAGAGGGACTACAGACTAATATTTCATGCATTTTCAGTGTGAAATTTCCCATGCTGTACTGATAAAACTTATTTGTAGTCACTTGCGAATCATTTAACAAAAGAACAGATTTGCACAGAATTATTCCACCAGTTTCAACTCCCAACAATGTAACTATGCAGACACCATCCAAATGTACTGCCTGCCTCAGTACAGGTTAGTGGCTGACCTGCTGAAAAGGAGCTCTGAAGAGAAGGATGGATGTTCTAATGGACAGCAGGTTAGCCATGAGCCAGCAGTGTGCCCCTGTAGCCAAGAAGGCCAATGGTATCCTGGAGTGTGTTAAAAACAGCATGGTCAGCAAATCAAGGGAGGTTTCCTCTGCTCTGGTGAGGCCACATCTACAGTACTGTGTACAGTTTTGGGCTTTCCAGTTCAAGCAAGATGGGGAACTCCTAGAGAGAGTCCAGTTGAGGGCCACAAAGATGATGAGGGGAGCACGTCCCTTATGCATGACTGGAGCATGTCCCTTATGAGGAAAAGCTGAGAGATCTGGGGAAGAGAAAGCTGAGAGGGGATCTTATCAATGCTTAAAAATATCTAAATGGCAGGAGACAAGTGGATAGGGCCAGGCTCCTTTTGGTGGTGTCCAGTGACAGGACAATGGGTACAAACTGGAACAGAGGAAGTTCCATCTGAACATGAGAAGGTACTTTTTTAAGGTGTCAGAAGGTGTCAGAAGGTGTCAGAGCACTGGAACAGGCTGCCTAGAGAGGTGGTGGAGTCTCCTTCCCTGCAGATGTTCAAATCTCACCTGGATGCTTTCCTGCTCAACCTACAGTAGAAACCTCCTTTAGGGTGTTGCACTGAGTGATCTCCAGAGGTCCCTTCCAATCCCTGAAACTCTGTGATTCTATGTAGTCTGAGCTACAAGAAGCCCAACACAACCCCCAAACACAGGAGAAGATACACTGCAATTCATTGTGTAACAGCGCTGGCCCCTCTCAGACTCTCCTTGAGTTGCTGCAACCCACAGAAATAGGCAGTTTTCGGCCATTTGAGGGAGGGTCCAAACCTGGTCCTCCAGTCCGAGGGAGACATGGAGTTAGTGGAGAGAGCCAGGTGAAGGGCCACCAAGACGCTGAAGGGCATGGAGCATCTATTCTGTGAGGAGAAGCCGAGAAAACTGGGACTGCTCAGCATGGAGGAGGCTCAGGAGCATCTGAGTACAAATATATACACTATGGAAGGGGGCAGAGAGGTCAGAATCAGGCTATGCTCAGTGATATCCAGTAGCAGGCCTCACAGCCTCCTTTGGCATACCCCAGACGCATGGCGTAGTGGCAGTGGGTAAAGACTGCCCACAGCTGTGTGGCTGAGCATCTTCATGTCCTGCCTTGTGCCCAGTGCCTAGTAAATGCCAGGAATGCAGCTCAGGCGAGTTCACGCTGTTTCCAATTAGGACACTGGCTGGCTGGCAGGTTGCTTGGAAACCAGGAACTGCTGCCTGGGGTTTGGGAGGCAAGCGGCGGTCTGGCCTGCTGGAGGAGGCCACCACAAGGCATGATGTGAGCCCCCAGAACCCCAAAGGATGGGGCAGTCTCTTGTAAAGAGGTTTTACAGGGAAATACTGGCACTGAGTACCCTAGGGTGCAATTGTGGTAAGGCCAGGAAAGGCCAGGTTCAGGAAAGTCCCACAGGGTGCACCTATGGGACAAGCACTTTGGTGGCACCTCGTGAGAAGAAGAGGTAAAGAGAAGGGTTTGGTGGCCATGTGTGAAATACTGATCTTACTTAGGGTGTTTCCCCACCACTTGGGAGCCCTTTCTGCTAACAAGGCATCACTGTTTATCTACCTTCCTGCTTTTCAGTTCTCCCTTTCAATGAAACACTGTTTTCAAGGCAGTGTGACGTGGGGACAGGAAAAGCTCAGCTATTTGCCAGGGATCTGACGTTTCATTAGCAACCTCTGTAAACTGTAACTCAGACTTTGCCGTTGCCAGCTAAGCCCCATCAGAAGGGCTACATCCTGCTACTATGGAAAAAAAAAATCACAAAGTTGAGACCCTGCTTGGGAAATAAAAGTACTTTTCTGCAATACAGCAATCCAGGAGCCATTAAACTGTCAGTGGGTGGGGTAAGCAATGATTCACAGGGTTCTGGTGCCTGTAGCATGCCCAGACAGTTTCCTGCTGCTATTTTCCACTTGTTAGCCTTGTCGCTTGTATGCCTTGTGTAGGCTTGGTGCTGTTAGAGGTCTCATACAGCAGCAGGAAAAGGTTGGCAGAAACCAGGCACAAACTTATTTTCTGTGATGGATGGGATGCTATGTGAATCCTACGGACTGGGTGAGGTGCGAGAAGTGGGATGTGGGCTTGGTGACTTCTCAAGTGAGTTAGGGAAAGGAAACCTCACACATGCAGGAGTGTCTGAAGGCAAAAAAAAAAAATGAAGGATGGCATTTACAGTGGATGAGTATTCTTTAGGGCCCTTAACTCCCCAGACAGTGTGGCTTCTTGGTTGTACAACTATAGCTGTGAAAGACTGGGGATCTGAGCCGGATTAAAAATAATCTAATACGGTAAAATAAATGAAAAGGTGGTTTTCAGGCAGATCAGCTCCTATGTTTTTTCATCAGGTCGATCCACCAGCAGGCATACTTACTGACAATTTACTAACAAATAACTCACAAGTTAATTATTTCTCCTCTAAAAGGAAAAAGCAGCTTCGTGTGCAGGGAGTTTGCTCCCTGGTGTCCTGCATCTCGCTATTGATTCCTGGGACAGAAACCTTCAAATTATCAGCGAAGCTCCCCAGGTTCCCCCAATGAATGTCATAGCTTCCCTCTCACAGGTGTCAGAGTGCTACCTGCCACGCTCTGCAGGATCTGCAGCTTCTCCATGGCAGTGCTCATCCCATTCACTCTGGCTGAAATGACTCGACCCTCAGGAATTTGTTCAGAAATTTGGCACAGACGCAGACCAAATGGGTACTTTCTGGGAAGTTGAAAATTTGCTAAATGCTGGAAATTATTCTGGGTGGCAGGCGGAGATTTCTTCTCCTACCCGGATTTTATCTGCTTCTCTGCATTCAACACTGAACACTTTGTGACAGACAGGATGGATCATGCTTCAGGATCAGACTCTGATGTGGCAGAATAATAAAAAATATCATTCAGTAATAGAAAGGCATCTGTTGAGAGCTGTGAGTGCTGTTACATCACTGTCAGGCTCCAAGAAGCAGCTCATCTGGCACCAGAAGCGACCTGCATGTCGAAAGGACCAAGTTTCCACTAGAGGGTTGTAGTGCTGTATGGAAGATGTGCTGCTGTGGCAAGAATAGTGTGTGCGTTCTGCAGCTTTGTCAGCAGCTGAAATGCATCCTGCCACAGCCCAGCTTCCAGCAACCTCTATCTCTCTGATGTACACAGCCTGCAAGCTGGGAGAGGGCTGGTGCCCAAGTGATCCGCATCCCTGCCTTCCTGAAAACCTAGCATTCATATGAATGAGCAGCTAACATATATTTATATATAGGTACAGTAAGAAAACACACTGTGCTTGTGTATATAGACACATACACAGTGCATTTATGTGTTTATCTGGGATACAGATGGTCAGGCAGTGTGGTTGTGGCACTCCATCACAAGATGCTGAGGAAATTTAGAAGAGCAGCACAGTTAGCAGGATGAGAAAGCAATAGATGTTTGCACAGAGCCCTGGCTTCTTCTCTGGTCCAGTACCAAGCACAGGTGCAGGCCCTGGCAGCTTGCAGGCTAACCTTGAACAGTAGCCATCACAAGGCTCTGCCACCAACCTTGCCTCCACGTCCAGTGCAACTCAGCAGGTCCTTTCAGGTTCATGTGTATACATTCCTAGTATGTGTCTGCTCGTCTTTTACAGTAGCATATGCATTTGTGCACAAGGATCTATTGCTTGCAGCTTTCTGATGTGCAAAGTGGCGGCAACTGCGCTGCCCAGATCAGGGTAGTTTTGCATACAGAAAACAAAAACTGGCGTTGTGTAACATAGTGAGGAAAGCCTAAATAACACTTGTGTTGCCTTTTCTTTTTCATAGAAAGAGTAAAAAGGTAAATGTAACCACAAGCCATGCCTGCAGCCTGGAAAACAGTGTGACATTCATGGAAAATTTACATAGTGATCAGTTCATGCACCACCTGTTTGTCTGTCTGTGACTATCGTCATTTCCACTTACAGGCAGATGGAAAATGGATTTTGCCTACATTTTCATTTCTTTTGTTATCAGAAAAGTTTTGAGGAAGTAAATAGGTGACATTCTTGCAAAATATTCATTATTTAGTACAGCAGAAGATGGGCTGGACTCAGTTCCTTCTGAAGATGGCCAGGCCTGAGTGCTCTCACCTACATACAGGCGTATAGACCAGCCTTTGAGTCATCAGGGAAGCTTGAGAGTGCTGGGATGGATTATCTAACCCCAAAGACCCATTCAATCATCCTTTGCCCTTCAGTGCAGGTGAAGAGAATCAAACTCTTTTGACTGCAATTCTGTACAGCCTCTGCTCACACAGCTGTCTCTGTCCCTCCAAAAGGAATCATGGCATGCAGCTTTACCCATCCTGCATGTGGTAATCGAATAGGTTTAAGAGCTTAAGCGCTCTTATGGTAGCAATGCTTACAAAGGTTGCGCTGGGCTGTCTGCCCATCACAGCTTTCTTCTCTCATAAGGCTGCTCTTTGGCATGAACATGCTGGGGCGTGTTGTTAGTGATGAAGGCTGCTAATTGAGCTTGCTAATAGGGAGAGAGCTGTTAAAAACATGTCCCTCAAAGCAGCTCCCACAGGTGGTGGAGCTGTACTACTCACCTTCATCACGTCAGTGGTGCACAAAGAAGATGGGAGCAAATGGATTTCATCCTTTCAGGCTGTTTTATTAAGCTAAGCAAAACAAAGCCAATCTTGCTGTCAATTTAACAGATCCTCATTGATGTAAGGCCCCTTTCCACAGCTCTGGGAGGATAGCCAGGCTGAGGTATGGATGAGATCAGTGCTGGGAGCATTACACACATGAATATTGATCAAGGAAAACCAGACAGGGGCCAGCCTGCTGTCCTGCTCTCAATCACCAACAAATGCAAGGGAAAGGGTGAGAGAAGAGGCTGTCCTGTGCATTTGCATAGGCAGATGGGTGAAGGGTGATGATGAAAACCTGCATCAGGACGTGGTTGTGGCTGCACATCCTTCAAGGATGAAGCTCAGAGGCTCCTGGCTTTCATCATGAGCATTAAGGAACACAGTTACAATGAAAGCATAAAATGCCCCTTACAGTCATGCAACTGGCTTTCAAAATGCAGTTTAATGAAAAAACTCTGATGAATTAACTGGAAGTTGTTACTGTTCCTTGAGCATGCTGAGTGCTCACAATAAATCTTTTTCCTGAAGGAAAAAGCAAGGTTAAATCAAGCTACAAAGCCCACTGAGCATTAGATTTACAGCAATTTGAAAGGGTTATAGGTTTATTTCTTAAACAGCTGAATTATAGCTGCTTCTGGATATTGATATGTGAAGCACGCTGACCCCTGGGCACTGTGAGGAGCTAGGGAATGAGAAGCAGTGGTGAGATGGCGCTGGTTATCGTCTTTATGTGAATTTCGAAGTCACTTCCAAAGAAGTAGATGAGATAGTAGTTCAGTATACCGGCCACAGACATGAGGAACAGGAACAGAATGATGCGCTTCCCAAACAAGTACCCGGGTGTGCTGGGGAGACAGGAAGAGAGGAAAGCTATTCGTTATCAGGTCCACCTTACCTAAGGAGCCCTCAGCCTCCAGGCTCTGGCTGAGAGCATCAGGTGCATTCCAGGGGTTGTCACAGAGGAGGGAATTCCTGCTCTTCTGCTTGGCCTGCTGCAAACTTGTAGATGTCATTGGAAATTTTCTGAACAGTTTGGGCCTGGATTCATCTCTTCACCTCAGTGCAGGACTTTTCTCACCAAAGTGACTGTTCAGAGGGATTGAATGTCTTTATAGCCACCAGTGACTGTGGGATGGTTTTGTTCCACACATGCATAATTAGCTTTATTAAGATCAGAGGAGGATATTGTGCAAATACTAGCACACACACATGCGTGTGTTGACACAGGTAGGGAGGGATGGGAGCATCTCCTGTGAGGAGGGGCTGAGAGATCTGGGACTGCTCAGCCTGGAACAGAGGTGCCCAGTTTGAGGACCAGAGGTCATGGGCACAGTGGCATACAGGAGGTTCCCTATGAACACCAGGAGCACTTTTGTGTGGGTTATGGACCACTGACACAGGCTGCCCAGAATCTGTGGAGTCTCCTCCTTGGGGATCCTCCAAAGCCACCTGGATATTGCTCTGGGCACCCTGCTCTGGATGTCCCTGCTAGAGCAGGGGTCAGGCCAAGAGTCCTTCAGAGGTCCCATCCCACCCCAGCTTTTCTATGGTTCTGAAACATTGCCAGGTTTTATGAAAAGGCTCTGCAAAGCCTTACCTCTGGGTCCTCTCCCCCAAGTAGCCCACAAAGTACTTCTGCCTCACAAACAAGTACATCAGGCCAGCAAAGGCGGCGGGTGCTGCACAAAGGGTAGAAGAACACATTATAAATGACAGCTTGGGTCCCTCACATGTATTGTCCCCATTCTCCTTTTTCCAAGGACTTTTTGAGTGTAATTGTTCCCTCAGTCATGCAAAACATGTACCTGGTCCCACTGAAACTCAGAAAGGAGTGTACCAGATTTCCCCACACCTCTTTGTCTAGTGATGAAACTCTTCCTTTCCAGAAAGAACAGCATACAAGCCCTAGGAAGGCAGCAGTTATGCTCCTGACCTATCTTTATCCAATTGTATTGCAAGAATCCATTGAGTGGAACGCATAAATGCTCAGTGTGTGTCATCTAGGTGGGTGGCAGTACCACTTTCACATGCCTGCACTTCCTAGCCCCATAATCAGAATCATTTGAGTTGGGACAGGAACACCTAAAGCTAGATCAGGTTGCTCAGAGCCTGGTCCAGCCTGACCTTGAATGTCCCTTCAGTAGAATCTTGCCCATGACTCTTTTAGGGGAATCACCTGAAGTACTAACATGTTCTCCATCTCTCAATTAAAGTCATGAAGGGGAGTGAAAACAAGTATTACCTTGGCTGCAGAGAAGCCCAGCGCACCAAAGCACGGCAAGAAACGTAGGGTACGTGTGCCCACAGTTTTGGCTAGGAAGGAATTTATGAGAGAGAAATCAGAATACAGGGAATATTGAAAGAAAATTGGTTTCTTTCATCCATGAACAACTGTGGAGTGGATTTGGGCTGTGCAGGCTCCACAGCAGCCTCGTGCAGGCACAGGGATGCTGTGTGGGCAGCAGCCAGGGAAGCGACTCCTCATGTGCCTGTGCCCCAACATGATTGCTGCCTCGCCCAGGATTTGCCTACCTGCCACCTCATGCTGAGAATGGGCTCTTTGTTCTGCCTGCTCAGGAAAGAAACCGCAAGCGAGCCCAGCAGCTGGGAAGTGCATTTGCTTCCTCTAGCATGTGTAACAGAGCTGCACGCTTTGTCGGCTTAGGAAATCCTTGCGCTTAAGTCATATTAATCAAGCAATGAGCATTGAGAGCTGTGTGGAGCCGAAGAACTGTGCAGCAAAAAGGAGTGTCTGGAAAGGTTAACCTGTCTCCTTGCACATGCACAGGAATAATTTCTGACTCCCTCCTTCAGCCTGGAATGCACTTCCAGAGGGAGATGTGCTCTTGCAGAGGTCACACACCTGTGAAGGGCAGCATTTTGCTGTTCTCTGCCTTTTTGAGCGTATTGCCAGTACTTCACGGGTAATAAAAAATATTTTATGTTCTTTTCTCTTCTGGGTTGGAATTAATTTTCCCCTCTGCTCCCTCTGAAGGAATGTTGAAGACAAGATGCAGCAAATGCGGTGGGGAAGCAGAGGGCCAGAACTTGTTCAGAGCTCTGCCACTACTCTCAAGTCAGCGTTGCTTCCCCCTGGAGCTGCAGCATGTATGGGACAATGGCTGTGCCCATGTCACACTTCCAGTTTTAGATGCGATTCGGAGAGTTGGATCCCAGATACGGGACATAGAGAACATCAGGTCTGCACGTCCTGCTCAGCAGCAAATGCACCGGAGAACTACAGGTCTAACCTCTGCCACAGCACACACAGCAATGGGATTGCAGAGCAAAGCCTTGGAGCCCAACTTTGCACCCCTTAAGAGTTTGGATTAAGCTGTAAGGAACAGGGCGGTGAGCCCAGGCTTGCCCCACTGGCTCTTCCTACTCACTTGGCAGTGTAGACACGTTCAAAGGCAGAGGAGCCTGGCCGCTGGATTCCTTTGCCATTGCAGTGTTTACTCTCATGCTCCAATTTGCTAGCAAAAAAAGCTGTAAAAAAACAAACAAAAACCAACACAAGCTGTTGGATCTGAAATGTAATCTGGAGATATCTCAGAAGTGCACGCATCCTTGTGTATGCCTGAGCAGCAGCAGAATGTGCAGATGTGTGGAGGTGCAGGGTCGCCAGCACGCTCTCTCTGCCAACGTGGCGTAACACAACCGTCCATGCAAGGGCATGACATGGTGTCACCCTGACATCCCCATGCATCTGCATGTTGCTGTCAGTATCTCTCACCTGAGCATGGTTAAATCCCCCCCCGCTGCACATGTACAACCCAGTGCTGTGTTATTTGTTCTCCAGGGGGAAAAACCTGCTGGTGAGAGCTGCCAGAACTCATCCTCACTCTCTGACAGAGTGGGGAGAAAAGAGAATTTCTGCTCTTCCAGTGATATCGTTTTGCCAAAACAAGGGCATCCAATAGGTTGTATTCATTTCCCAGAAAGGCTTGTTGCAAACCTAGCACTGATGACTGACTCTGTGTATAGTTTGCTTCCTACTTTTAAGCAATGGTATCATGTCAGGATGTTAGCTGCTGCAAAAACACAGCACCACAAGATAATGTATTGTATGCTTGACAAACACTTCTTGTCTAATTACACTAAAACAGGGACCATCAATCGTGTGTCTAAATGCACCTGGCAGAGTTCTGACAGCCTACAAGCTACAAGCATTGTATCATCATGCTCCCAATCTCAGTGCACCCTAATCACCCTATGGTTTGGAATATTAGTCTAAGATGTATACCAAAGAAAACACATCAGGACAGAAAAAAAAAAAAAAAAAAAAGGAAACAAAAAAAAAAAAAAAAAGAAAAAAGGTAAAAAAAAAACACATAAAAGCCCCATGCATTATTGTAGCAGTATGATAACTTGCTAAACTGGCGGGCTTCATCCCTGGAATGTGGAGGCCCATCTTTGGGCCACCATTCAGCAGCTCAGCAACCAAGAGCTCCCAGTGTTCTCACCCATGTGTTTTGGGTTGTTAATGGAGGACCAGGTTGGCCAGCATGATGTTTTTGTCCAGTGTAAAGCTCCTGTGATGGTAAACCACTTCCTGTTGACCTTGGACTGGATGAGCTTACTGGGACATGTAGCACATCCTTTCCTTTTAGCGTGAGATCCCTAAAAGATGGCACAGCCTTTGGAGAAAGACAACGGTAAGCTTTAAACATCTCCCTCTTGGGCAAAAATTTCTACTCAGAAAGAGTGGTGAGGCACTGGGACAGGCTGCCCAGGAAGTGGTGGAGTCACAGTCCCTGCAGGTGTTCAAGAACCGTGTGGATGTGGCAGCGAGGAGCATGGTGGGCATGGGCTGAGAGTTGGACTAGATGATCTTAGGGGTCTTCTCCACCCTTGATGATTCTATGATTCTCTCTGCTATTGTAGGATCTGCCACTTCCCAGGTGCAGGTGAGCTGCAGCAGAGAGTTCCATGATGCCATTGGGTTAAACCCAGCTGTGTCCAACATGGTGCTGGCCACTGAGCACAAGAACTTGGAGGAGCAGATGGTGATACTCCTGGCATGTAGCCTCCAGGGTCATGGTTGGGTAGGCCCCAGGGATTTCTGGATCTCCTGGGCAAGGACCTGGCCATGGAAATCCAGGCACGAGTCATGGAAGCACTCATCATCTCTGACGTGACCCTTGGTCAAAGGGCTGGGCATTAAGGCAAAAACAAAGATGGATTTATCATGAACACCTGCATCATGAACAAGAGCAGGCTTTGTTTCATCTTGTTTTGGGGACACTGAGAAGCATTGGGGAGATAGCTGTTTTACTTACTTTACAATGAGTTACAAAGAGAAACAGGAAAAGCACCCGCAGATGTCAAGCTATCAGCATGAGAAGAGCCACCTCAAAGGGCATCCTAGGAGGTACAACCCCTTGAGCTGAAGCTCTGCAAAAGAGCAGAGCAGAGCTGGCAGGTCCCATCCAGTGGTGGCCCCTGGCATAGGTTTGGGCAGGCAGCACAGCAGTGTTGAGCTCCTATTAGGGTGATGCTGGGGAAAGGAGAGACTACTGTGTTAAGTAGCTTGCAACACTGTGGTTATATTTCTCACTCTTTTCCTCCAAACCTTGAATCAAGGATGTGGTTTCACAACCTGGTGCAGATGGGTGAACTGAGCAGGGAGGTGCAAAGGAGGGGAGGGGGCCAAGAGTTTAAGTGCACTCAGCTGCGCCTGGGATCAATGCCCCACGGCTCCAGGGTTTCTTCAGTTGCTATGACCTTGATCCATTGCGGTCTGGCACTTGGGAGTATGCAGCAAGGGCCTTGGGGAGATGGTCTAGATGAAGATAATGCACTTTTATTTCAGGTCTATTTTCAGTGGGCCATTCCCATGAACTGACTCCATGTGTGGCCATGGGGTTGTTTCTTGAGTCCACACAAACTGAACAGCATGCTGATGCTACAGTTGAGTGTGTGCTGGCAGTCATGTAGGGTTGCCCCTTCCACCTGCTTCACGTCACTTCCTCTGTCCTGATCTGCTCAATTTGCCCTGAAGGCTGCTTGGTTGCAACACTGCAGTGATGCAAGAATAACCAAAGCTCTGTATGTGACTCAGCAGTGCCTGGTTGCTCAGTCACTCTGCAGGATGTGGAGATTCCCAGTGCAAGTGAGGTGATGTCAAATGGACAGGCAGCAGTGCAGCCTGCATGCAGCTTTGGAACAGCAGCATTCATCAGAACTGCTTTATAATCCTGCATCAGGTGCAGACAAACATACAAACCCAAATTTACATCATTGCTGGCTCCAAGTACTTAAAGACAGTCAGCAGATGTCTCACTGAGCTATAGCAGGAGTTTAGTACAACTGTTATCTTTGACAAGCATTTCTATGCCCTAATTACTGTATATGTGACATACAATATGCATAACGTACAGTATGTGTGTCATGGAGATCTTTCCAGATAGAAAGCTTGGGAGGAGGAAATCAAGTGCTACAAGCTTCAAAATCATAGCTCAGGGCTGTGTGCCACCCTTATTCATCACACAGAGACCTCTGCAATATTGCTGGCCCACAGCATTGGGGTCAGTGATTTCACAGAGGGATTTCCATGAAAGCAAAGTGCATGTCAGGCTGGAAGGCAAGTGCTTGAGTTTCAGAGTGTATTGGGTTTACACAGCTAGGTTTGGTAGAAGGGGGGCTGCAAGATGAGGCTCTGGGATGAAGCTGCAACCTGTGGAGAACAGCCAGCAGTAGAGCAGATCCTGAAAGGTGGGCCCCGTGGTATGGAGCCATGTTGGAGCTGTGGTTGTAGAGCTGTAGCCTATGGGAAGCCCACGTGGAATTAGATTGGGAAGGATGGCATCTGTAGGAGGCATCCCATGTGGAATGGGGGCAGAGAGTGACCACGGAAGAGCGGCAGATACAGGCATTATGGACTGACCACAGCCTCATTCTCTGTGCTACTCAGGGTAGAAGGTAGAGGAGAGTAGAAGGAGGAAGATGTTTGTGCTCTGATCCCAGCACTCCTTATGCTGCTTCACTATCTGCTGTGCATTTACCACTAGCAAGGACTGTGCTGAAGAGCACAGCAGTTAAAGTCTACCTCAGGATTTCACCCATCTGCACACTTTGCTGCTCTGCGGCTGAGCCCCCACCACTTCCCCTCCCTGCAGCACAGCCCATTTCCAGGCATGAACCATGAGGTCTGCACTCACTGGGATTTCAAGCATTTCTCTCAGTCACTCACCAAGCTTCTTGAGCCTGGGTAACCGCAGTGCATCCGGGGCAAAACCCACTCCCTTGTCTGGATGATGAGCAGTATTTTCTACTAGGATGGTTAAGTATGGTTGAAGAAGGTTGACCAAGTTAAAAACAGATTTGCGTAGAAGAGCAGCTTGCAGTTTTATTTTAAAAGCTCCAAGGAACAGTACTGAGGGTAGGGGTCTGAATGAGAGCAAGAAATGAAACTTCCCCTCTGCAGAAAATGCTCAGCATTCTTGGGGTTGCAGATAATGCAGTCTAGTTATGCTAGAGGATCTGGACAGCTAGGTGACCCCACATTACCCAAACACACTTCTAGGTGGTCAGTGCCATTTTGCTGCCTTCACCTGGCTCTGTGCAGAGCTCTCTGCACAGAGGCTCTTCACCTGGCTCTCTGCAGACCACAGGGATTCAGCCAAAGAGCAGCACTGGGGCTTCAGCCACGGTCCCTGTTATTGGATCTAAGTGCACATTGTCCTCAGCAGCTCCAACACATCACCCCTTTCATTAGCTGACATACATATGACTGACTCACAGCAGGGCTGACAAGCCATAGAAACAACAGCATGTTAGGCAGTGTGCTGAGAGCATTGCTGAAGCCAAATGCCTGCCCGGGATGCCTGCACACGCACATACTCACAGCAAGAGGTTATCTAATGAACACCGGATTGTTCTCCCCTCCCATGTACACGGATTTCTGCCTCACCATTCTGGACGACGCTGATCAAGGTGACAATGGCAAGCAGGACGACGCTCCCCAGGGTCTCCTGATCCATTTTGTGAGCAGGCAGTGGGCAGAAGTGCAGCCGTGGCAGCAGCTCAGCCCTGTGAGTGCAGAAGGAGGAAGTGAGGGTCTGAGTTATCTCAGATCGTGAAATACTTCCTACAACCCTGTGGGAGCAGAGCAGCACCCCATCCTTGGGTGTCTGCCAGCACAGCACAGCTGCAGCATACAGCGTCCCTCATTGCATCCTCTTAGTTACAGGTGAAGCCTGGAGAAATGTGAGACAACACTTCCCTCTGGAAGATGGTGGCAGCTGCCAACCCTCAGGTTTACAAGCTCAACCCTTCAAATTGCAGTTTCCCTAGTCTGAGCCCAGTACGGATGAAAAGAGTTATTGTGGCGTCTCCTGCCCCAGCTTTGATCCCAGGGAAGAGGTGACAGGGGAACACGAGATGCAGGAGGCTGATGGTTTCTTCTGTAAGACAGTGAGGCTCAGGCTGCCCAGAGAAGCTGTGGGTGCCCCATCCCTGAAGGTGCTCAAGGCCAGGCTGCATGGGCCCTGGGCAGCCTGAGCTGGTAGGAGCTGTTCCTGCCCACAGTGCAAGGTTGGAATAGGACGGGCTTTAAGGTCCTTTCCAACCATTCTATGATCTATGAATCTACGATTCTATCAGACAGCTGGAAAACATCCTCATCAAAGTGCACATGTCCTTCCAGGAAAAAACCCATCTGCTCCTTTTTGAGATGGGAAATTCACCTACAGCTGTGGCTTTACCCAACCTCACTATCATGCAAATTGTTATCACCTGAAGTAATTGATAAGAAGATCACGTAACTTGGGTACAAGCAAATGTACAGAAGCATGTCAGTGGTCAGGAACTGATGAGTGTAGCCTGTGAGCAGTCAGAGGCTGGTTTTTGATGGACAGCACAGACACTGCTGTGTGAGCAGCAACATCTGGCATAATTTGGGACTGTGATTTTTTCTGAGAGTTAACTCTTGGTAAGTTTGTGCTCAGGGATGGCATTTAACATGAAGTTTGACATTACCATAATGCAAAAATTAAAATAAAATAGCAGGAGCTGCTGGCTTTCCAGCCTAGCAGCCCTGGCCTACGACAGTTGGCTGCTGATGCCTTCTCTTTCCTCCCATCCCACCCTCCCCAGCCCATTTCTCCTTCAATTTCATTGCTTTTCTTTGCCACTCTGCTCTCCCCAGGCCCCATCCAGCCCTGTCTGCCCCCTGGCACCACTTAGGACTCAGGAGCTTCCTCCTGCAGCTCTGTGCTGAGCAACATGCAGTCCTCATTTCCCCTTCTCGCTATGCTTTGGCATTCCCTTCCTTCTCCTTCCCCCACCAAAAAGAAATGTAATTGCATCAGCTCCAGGACTTCCTAAGCTGATTTCTTAATGCAAGGAGGAAAGAGCTGTGCTAGTGAGAATGTTTTTGGTATGACTGTCCAACAATGAGAGTTGCAGGAAATTGCCTGCACTCATTGCAGCCCCCAATCCCAGGCAGGGGCGATGCTGTTTTTCCCCCACTGCTGCTGGATCCCCTTTGCTTGCTGCATCACTGCTGGAAACCTTCATCTTGCTGTGTGAGGAACATAAACCTGACACAGAGCCACAGAGCCCATGGAAACGTGCAAAGCCAGCAAGTTTCTCCTGTTGCACTGCGAGACCTCCAGCACATTAATCTCCTTCTCTGAAAATCTTTTGTAGAAATGCTCTCAGACAGAACAGGAAAGGACTGAGCGCAGACCTATAAATATCATGTGGGATGTGTTTCTCCACTTACGATATCTGCTCAGTTCGGCACAAAATCTCCAGTGGAAGTGTCCAAACTAAATTCAACATGGGAAGTTCTACATACGAGTGTCACAGGACACAGGTTATTTGATCACTTACTGATTTGAAGTGTAGATTTGTATACACCCTCCATAGAATTATTACGGTTAGAAAAGGCCTCTAAGATCAAGTCCAACTGTCAGCCTATCACCACCATGCCCACTAATCACGTCCCTTAGAGCCATGTCTACACAGCTTTTGAACACCTCCAGGGAT